TGAAAACTCGACCCTAGGGTAATCCATCTACAAAAGCATACAATCATGAGGCTAATCCTAAAACATCCCCTCTTAGAATTTTTCCTTCTAACCAAACTTTAATTTCCCTCTTGAAATAGCCGTTGGACTTCACGTTGGAGGGGGGGGGGACTTTTTGGACGGATGTCCTGTTCCTCCTCTTGCACATTAGTGCCGGTCCAAGAAAGACTGGTGTAACAATACCCCCCTCTCAAAGACCTACCTTGACCTCAAGGTAAAATAATGAAAATTGATGCTTTTCCCTCTCGTACGGCTCTCATGTGGCATCATACTTGGGTTGGTACATCCATTTTATCAACACTTCTTTGATCCCTCCCCTCTCTTTATCTTACCCCCTCTCTTTTTCATATCCCCTTTCAGCTCCAAGTGGTTCAAATACCACCTCCAAATCTTCAGTTACTGTAACGGGAAACTCTATACTCGATTCATGGTCCCCGATAACTCTACTCAACTGTGACACGTGGAACACTAGATGTATAGTAGTGGTCGGGGGTAACTTCAAGCAATAAGCTATTATTTCAATCCTCTCCAGTAGCTCATAAGGACCAAAATACGTCTGGGCCAACTTCTCATTTCCTCTTATTAGCTATTATTTTTTTGTTCGTAGGGACAAAACTTTAAGTATATCCTATCCCTTATCTCAAACTGGATGCTTTTTTTGTGCCAATCCGCATGCTTCTTCATGATCTATTGAGCCCTTAACAAATGCCTCTTTAATTCAGCCAACATCATATCCCTCTCGCCCAAGTATTGCTTTACCGAAGAGATTGGTGTGCTACTTTGTCCAAAGTGCACTAAATGAGGTGAGCCCCGTTTGTATTGTAGCTTGAAAGGAGTCATCTGTGAAGCTAAATGATATGAAGTGTTGTACCAATACTCTACTCATGCTAGCCATTTGACCCATAGCTGAGGTGTTTTTGAAGCAAGACATCTCAAATACGTCTTAAGGCTCCTATTTACCACCACCATCTACCCGTCCGTCTGGGGTGGAAAGCCGCTTCAATACTGTTCCATGCTGTCTGAACAACTTCCAAAAATGAATGAGGAACACCTTATCTTAGTTGGACACTCTCAACTCTGGTATCCCATGTTTTTTGACCACCTCTCTGATGAATGCTGCTGACACAGTCACTATCTTGTACGGATGTCATAGGGGAATGAAATGAACATACTTCTTCATTCTGTCAACCAACACCAAAATCACTGTAAACCCCATAGATCTGCTTAGCCTATCTAGAAAATCCATGGTGATCTCCTCCCATACTCTGTCTAGAAGTGCTAGAGATTGCAGTAATCCTCTCAAAGCCATGGCTATGTATTTTCTCCTCTGTAATACCTCTCATTTAGCCACCATCTCCTCCACATTCTTATGCAACCCCTTCCAATACGACTTTGCCGCCAATCTCCTGTACGTCTTCTACACCCTTGAATGACCCTCAGCTTTGCTCCCGTGGAACTCCTACAGAATGTGAGGAATATGGACTGAGATCCCTAGTAACACAAATATCCCCTGGTACATCAGTCTCTCCCCCTCTAGGGAATAGTCAGGGTGACTACTCTCATCCCTCAACATATCTGCCCTATTCATGCTTAACTCCTCATTCTGCACACTCTCCTCCTTCATAGCCCCTCAATCCAACACCAGTGGTACCAAAATGGCTAACTCTTGGATTTCCTCCATGCATCTAGACAAGAAATCAACCGCCTTGATCTGTAGTCCCAGCCTATATTGAATCTCAAAATCATATCGCCAAAGCTTTGACAACCACCTCTGATGCTCCTTGGTCATCATCCTCTACTCTAACTGGTACTTCAAGCTCCTCTAGTCTATCCTGATGGTGAAATGTCATTCCAACAAGTAAGATCACCACTTCCAAATAGCTAACACAATGACTATCAACTCACTCTCATAATTGACTTCAACCTAGCTCTGGCTGTCAACACCTAGCTGAAGTAAGGAATGGGCTTATGATTTTGCATGAGCACTGCCCCCAATCCATACCCACGTGCATCAGTATCCACCTGAAAAACCTGGCTAAAATCTGGTAAGGCCAGGACTGAGATTGTGATCATGGCCTTCTTCAGTCTCTCAAAGGCCTGGGTAGCTGCCTCTTCGCACAAAAAAACTATCCTTCTTCATTTGTTCTATCAGAGGCTAAACTATAGTGCTGTATTCCCTCACAAATCTCCGTAGATACCAATCAACCATAGGAAACCTCATAGCTCCTTCGAATTCCTAGGTAGTGGTCATTTCAGCATTGCCTCAACAATCTTGGCATGATCATCGACCACTCCCTCATGAAATACCATGTGTCCCAAATGCTGCACACTGAGATTTGCAAAACAACACTTCTTTAGGTTGGCCCCAGATGTTGCTCCTGTAACACCTCTAATACCTTCCTTAAGTGCTCCAAATGCTACTCATCCGACCTGTTATACACCAGGATGTTATAAAAAAATCAGTAAAGATCTCCTGAGGTATGATCAGAATATCCTGTTCATGAGGGACTGGAATGTATAAGGGGTGTTGGTGAGGCCAAATGACATCACCAAGAACTCATAATGTCCCTGAATGCAGTCTTCGGGACATCCTCCTCTCTCATCCTGTTCTAATGGTACTCAGACTTCATATCCATCTTCGTGAATACTACCGCTCTAGAAAGCTCATCCAACAACTCATCTATCACTGGAATTGAAAACTTGTCTGGCACAATCTTTTTATTTAGAGTTTGGTAGTTCACATAAAATCTCCAGCTCCCATCCTTCTTTACCAATAAGATTGGGTTAGAAAAAGGACTTACACTCAATTGTAATGATTCATGCCTCCAACATCTCCTGGATCAGCTTCTCAATCTCATCCTTTTTGATCTGAGGGTAGCGGTAAGTCCCGACACTAATCGGTGACATCCCCTCCTTCAAGGTGATAGCATGCCCGTGCTCCCTCCGTTCTGTTAATTGTTGAGGTGGCTGAAAGACCTCGTTGAACTGCTGTATAAGTGACAGTACTGAAAGAGGGCTGTCTCCCCCCCTCCAATCTATTTCCCTCTAAGCTCTGCAGCTCCACCAGAAACTTTCTCCCACCTTCTGTATTGCCCTTATCATGGTTTTGAGAGACACCATGGCTTTGGATAATCCCCTGATCACCACCCTTCTTCTATCCACCAGCAATATCATTATCAGTGCTCCTCAATTGACCTTGGTATTGATGTAGGCAAAGGGGGGGTCAACACAATTCATATGGGCCTTGACTATTTTCGGTTTTGAGCTTTAGCTGTTGAATTTTTAGTTGGTGCAAGCTCATTAATATCTAGTAGGAGTGTAGCTCATTATGAGCTGATGTTTAGTTATAAAATTAATGTTTGGGAGCTAGATTAGATGAGTAGAACTTGTTCTTTCATATTCAAGAAGCCCCTCTTTTGAATTTTCCTTCTAACCAAACTTTAATTTTCCTCTTGAAATAGCCACTGGCCCCACCCCAAAGGAGTGGGTGGGACTTACTAGGCGGAACACCTATTCCACCTCTTGTACACTAGAGCTGGTCCTGGAGGGACCGGTTGGACCGGTCTAACAGTTTGCTTCCTTTGCAAGCCCATCTACGGGTGAAACTTATTAGAAACGTTCAAAAGAATTCTTCTTCAACTTACATAATTGAACACTTTAATTGCTTTAAATTGGACAACATGTGCATCAAAGGAACATCATGAAGTGTCCAAGCAACCTTTGTTCAGCTGTCCATCACTACATCAAACAATTGTTGTGCCTCATTGCATACTGACTATCAGTGCTGAGAAATAAGAATAGCGATTGAGCTAGCAGGCACGATCAAACTTTGGGTATTCATGTACAGAACAGTTACGGCAGTATAGGAGGTGATTGGGGGAGCAGAGGGTTATGGTATGATTTTCAAGGATCTAATGTTAGAGAGGATGTCGCAAATCTCTTTGAACAGATTTTGTGTGGGCAAGCGGAGGGAAGCAAAGATGGCGATTTCAAAGTTGTGGATTGTGGAGTTGGTTGTTGGTTGTCTGTTCATTAATGGATCCAGTTTTTCATGAGGAGATGCGGAAGGGTTTGGCATTTCATGAAGAACTATTGAAGCCCAATTTGCTACACCTGCATCCGATAGAACTCCAGTTATCTATTGAATTATGTTGGTGTTATGGTGAGACAAGGTTTTTATAATATGGGGTTAGAGAAAGGTTGAAGAGAGGATTCTCCTAGAATTTTTCCTAAAAACGGTAATCTAAATTAAAATCTCGGCCCAGTTGGATTTTGAAAAACTGAAGCGTTGGATATAAACTGAGTTTTTTTATTCTGGCCAACTGCCACATTTGATAGATTTAATGCCTGAATTTTATCCATGCGGTTTTGAATGCTAAACTGTGCTTTGACCAATTGCAGTCTAGCCTGAGCCTCCAAAACAAGTTCTATGCAAAAAAATTGAGTTCTCAAATTTAATTAACTTTTTGAATTTAATTGATTTTCGTTTTTTTTAACTATTTTTTTTGTATTTGTTCATTTCTTCACGGCACAAGAAATATTTTGGGATGAGATATCATTCCATTTGTATGATACTTGATTATAGGTATATGTTAATTATGAGTATTATGCAAACTAATGTTAAGATTATGTCTAACTAATTCTTGAGGCTTCCTATGGAACCAGGGACAGTATTAGTTTGATCCAATTAGTGTTATGCCATGATAGTAACAGAGTAGCCTCTGACAAGGACCATGAAATTGTGCGCCTTGTGAAATTTCCTGACTTTCGGCCAAAACGTGTTGGCAGGGAATTTTGTTGTGATTATTTAACAGTCTATTTTTTAATCATGGAATATTTCCCTATCACATTTGTGTACATTTATGTTGGCCTGTCTCTCCTGTTACTTGCATATTTTTTGAAGAATTGGTGAAATGTCAAAGTTCTTGCTGTAATTTAACTCTAATATCCTTTTCCTGCAGTTTCCTTTAGATTTGGATCCTTGGGGAGTTCTGCAAAAACATGTAGTGTCTGATTACGTGAATCATGAGGTAACTCGTTACTGTTTTTTATAAACAAAATTTTGTTTCGTAATTCTGATTTATTTTTGCTACGCTATTATTGCTTTAGAATTAGAAACATGCATGTTTCTTAGAAGTAATTATTTGTTGTCTCCTTATCCTCAAGTATACTCGATTTGAGTTTGGTCAGCAGTTAAGTTCCTTGTCGTCTTAATTTTATTATTATTGATATTCTCTTGTTCTTAACCTTGACTTCTCAACTTCATAGTGGTGAATGGATATCTGTCCATTTCAACTTCAATCAGTTTTTTTGATGAAGGATTGCTTAATTTTGTGTGAAATTGTTTGCCTTTCATAAGCATATAGCTAGTTTGAAGCTAGTTCAGTTGCAGACTGTAATGTATAATATTCTTGAGGCCTAAGATTCAATCCTTACATTATATTATTGGCGGAAACCAATGTCGTTGGGTTAACTTTTACGTGATTTGTGAACTAAATCTTAAGAACTCTTTTTTACAATTTATGACATAACTTGTACATAGGAGAGTACCATGAGATGTTAAAACTTGACCTATGAGAGTTCTTTAGTCTTGTATTGCGCATTTGGACTAGCAGATTCCATTTGTTTTCTAATATGTTCTAAAGATTCTGGATAATTCATGTCACTATAAAATGCCAAATTTCATTATATGATCAAACTCTTTATAAAATGCCAAATTTCATTATATGATCAAATTCTATACAAAATGCCAAGAACTAATACGACTAACAACCGAAGTATTATTGAAGAGATTAATCCATATAGAAAATTCTAAGGTGTTTGTGTTTCATCCAAAATAGTTTCTTACAGCCACATGCAGAGGAGAGAGAGGAGCTGATCCATCTTCTACTAGTCACTTATATAAATCTATGAGGCACATGAGAACCACTTCTTTAAACATAACTATACCCATTCTCACCCTAAAGAGAAATCTCAAAACTCTCAAGACAAATAAAGAATCTTTATTTACCACTCTTTAAACTCTCTTGAGAATATGCTAAGCTAAGGATGGTTGTTGTTGGTAAACTCTTTTTCTCCCTTCTTTAAACTAATGTGAAACAAACCCGTTCAGGAGTTACTTTAAGGAAATTAAAGAGAGCAGATTCAACAAAATAATCCCAAAATAAATTTATTACTTATAACAATGATTGATCCTTAGAATTCTTGGTTTTTAACTTGCTTAGGCAAAGAAGAGTAAAGCCGATTCCCAAACAATTCAAGAAAACGCAAAGAGCAATTGTAAGACTACGACGATAGACAAGAATCCATGATTTAATAATGAGAACTTTCACCTTTGGAGCCCACACGCTCAACTAGTCTAGGCTTTAGCGGAAGAAGAGTCTCCACATTAGAACTAAGGTCACTCCGAGGAAGAAGGAGCCTAAGATCGTTGTTCTTGGATAGGTGGCCGGAGTGGTGGAGGATGACGGTCGTACAACGATGATCCAACGTCCCTTTGATCTTTGCTCGTAGATCACATCCACTAAGGTGTAATGGATACGGTCGATGTAATCTTCAATAGTGTCGTCGAAATCGAAGCCCACGTCAAAGAACGGTGATTGGAGGATGTCAACTTGATCTTGATCGTTATGCACAAACCCAAAGTTCCATTTGGGTTCCGCCATGCATTCTTGCCGGGAGTTGATGGAGCATCCGAGAGAAGAGGGGAATTTGGTTATGGTGGGGGTCCAAATGGTAGAGTGCAGGAGTTCTGAACTTGAATTATTCAGAATTGGGAGGTTAATGAGTGGGATTTAATTTGAACAAATTAAAATCATAGATCGGAGGAGGGGGAGGGGGGGGGTTAAGAGGAGGGGAATTTGGGCTGAATTTGTGGAGCTATTAAGGTGATTAGGAGAGAGAGAGAGGAGGCCATTAAGGGGGCCGGCCATGTAGGAGGTGAGGTGGCGCTGAGGTTTTAAGTAGGTGGGGACCACTAGTCTTAATTTCAGGATTTTAATAAAATCTGAAATTAAAACTTCAGTTTTAAATGGGAAGAGATTCCTCAATTAAAGGCATTCAATTAGATTGATTTCGAATTTCAAATTCGAAATTTAAAATCCGATTAAGTTGAGGGCATGATTTAGGGAAGCAATTTAGGAAACAATTAATGTTTCATGAGAGTTTTGAATTTCAAATTCAAAACTCCAAGAGGGGGAGGCGGCGGGATGGAGCTGTTAGGCTGGCCGGCGGGAGGCTGGCCGACGGGTGGCTGGCTGTTGGCCGGCGGGAGGTTGGCCGGCTGGTGGTGGAGTTGCTGGCTGGCGGGAAGCTGCAGAGAAGAGGGCGGCGGCTTTGGGCTGCTTGGAATAGGCGGCGGTAAGAGCAAAGGGAGGAGGAATTGGAATTTTCTAGGGATTCGAAGAACGAATTCCAATCTTCCACAATTACTTCCACCCAAACCTTCGTGACGACGATGAGATCTCGAGAAATAAAGAAAAAAAATGAAGAACAAGAAAAACCTAGAACTCACAAAGAGATCTAGCTTCTCCTACGAACTCACTAGGAGATCGTGGAGGTTTTGCACTCATTAAGAGAACATGAAATGCCAAATTTTCATTCATCCAAAAACTTCTCATATATAGGAAAATGACCATATATATAGGCCTCCAAATGACAAAGAAAACCAAAGACTAAAATGCTCCTTGGGCTACAATAGCAACTAACTACCCATAAGGGCAAAAACGGAAAAACATAAAAATCAAATAAACTACTACATAAAATGACAAAAATACAGCTCATGATCGTGGCCGTCGATCTCTGGCGTCTCATGTGTCGAAATTGCTAACGATGTCCTCATCATAAATTCTCTCATATTTCTACTTAGTTTCAGTGAGCGTAATCACATTTGTCATCTGTTTACTGTTTTATCTCCACTTCATGCTCAAAAACTATGTATAACTTGAAAAGTGTAACTTTATGTAGGCTAAGGTGATTTTTCTAAGATGTATCATTTATGCTGATGGTTTTTTTTTGACCCACATACACCAAAACAAATTTTGAAAAACGTAGCCAAAATCCATTATTTATGTTCTAAGCTTTCATAGTTTGCCTGCATTTTACTTTTGCTTCATATTATTGTTTAGCACTTTTGTGACACCTATCAGTGATGTGCTCAAACAAATAACTTTCATTGCAATTAAGAAATTAATTTGACTTTTACAGTCTTTAAGATGTTCTATTATGCCTCAAGCACTGGTATGAGATGAATATTAAAACTACCCTGTGGCATATTACAATGTGAATTGACTACTGTGAAGTAGAAATACCCCACGCGTGGCCATGAATTTTATGCTTTGGTCAAGACAAAAATATTGTAGATACTATCTTTTTTCCACTAGACATTGTCTTCCTATCTAATTGTTATCTAATTTTGAATCATGAAAGAACTTTAAAATCACATGACTTCCAAATATTCACCATGTGAAGTGGGTTGCTTTTCTTTATGAATATACTTGTTTCATTCAAGGCAGGTGTTGACAACATGGCTATTGATGCACTGTCACATGTACACTCATTTTTCCTCTATTTTGGTTAAGGTGCTAGGATTTCTCCAACCACAAATGAGTACATTTCATGACCTAACTTCTACAATATTTTCATTGTGTATAGGACTCCCACCTCTCTGCCTTACCCGGATAAATTTATCTGAGATGGTTATATGTTCAAATTTCATTGGTTTATAATTATATGATTTTCTGATTTGGGAATTGCATGTTGGCTGTTTAGACGGGCATCTGGGCTAAGAAAAAAAATTCTTTTCTCTAGATTCAGCTTGCTTTTATTGGCCATTTATATAACATGATGCTCACAGAATCAATTGTCAATGTCACACAGGTCGAATAGTTTGGGTTGTTAAATGGTTTGTTGTTATAGGCACACTTTCGCTATACTAAGAAACTTGGATTGACCTAAATATATATTTTGTTCTAGGTTTTTCTAGAACATGTACTCGACATGACCATATTTTAGTAGTTGATTTATTTTTGAAATGACACATTTTATATTAAAAATTGTCAGTGCTTTATGTGTTGCACGATTATTTTTTAAAGAAATTTTGAGAATCTATAATCGTGACAGTTGATTGTTTATGATTACCATGTTATGGTTTGTTGTAAAATTTTAGATAGCTTTATGAAAATTGTGGCATCATTTAAGTCCTTTGCATTTTACGATTAGACTGATGTATAAGCTGAAGTTCTCCATTTAAGCATGAAAAATTTGCTAAGATGTTTATGTGGTGATAAGCTAGGCATTGGGGATTTAATATTGCCTACAAAAGAATTTGGTTGCAACAATTCAGTGCACCACACTATAGTTGTCTCATTTGGAAGATATTTATGCACACAACTTTGAAAAAACAATTTAGAGTATCACAAGCATATTTTGATAAAGAGTTATTATAGTTGGGGCCTATTACCACAGTTCCATGGAAGAGAAAGAAGGCAACAAATGATATCATTAGCGGGGATGTGGTCCCCTCAGGTGACTAATGTTGAGATCTTCTTATGTGGGCTGTAGTAGGTGCCACAATCGAACAAAACCTCTATTGGAGCACCGAGATACTAACTGGCCCTTGTGGCTATTTCAGCCCCCTTTTTGGTATCCTAACCCTCTAGAGTGGTTTATTGTTTGTTTTGTTGGTACGCATTACAATAACATAAGGGACCTCATATTATCAGCTGAGGAGCTCTTTGTTTCTTCCTTGTTTGCTTGTTTTATTGTACTCATGTATGGATAGTTATATATAACATTGTTCTTCCCTCTTTTGTTTGTTTTTTGTCTTGGGAAGACATAGATAGAAGTTTCCATACTAGCCTGTATGCTTTTATACTCTTTTATTGTCTTTAATTAATGCAAAATTCAATTTCGAGGGGATTTGATCCTGCATCGCACTATAGTTGTCTCATTTGGAATATCTATGCACTCAACTTTGAAAGCCTATAAAGTTGATGGCACTAAAAGCATGTTTTATTTTCTCTTTTTGGTG